GCCGCTGCCGCGCTCGGGCCCCATGCCGCGCACGTTGGCTCCTACTCTGGGCCGCCCTTCAACTCCACCCGGGACTTCCTGTTCCGCAGCCGCGGCTTCGGGGACTCTGCGCCGGGCGGCGGGCAGCATGGGCTGTTCGGGCCCGGCGCAGGCGGCCTGCACCACGCGCATTCGGACGCGCAGGGCCATCTTCTTTTCCCCGGCCTCCCGGAACAACACGGCCCGCACGGCTCGCAGAATGTGCTCAATGGGCAGATGCGCCTCGGGCTGCCCGGCGAGGTGTTCGGGCGCTCGGAGCAATACCGCCAGGTGGCCAGCCCGCGGACCGACCCCTACTCGGCGGCGCAACTCCACAACCAGTACGGCCCGATGAATATGAACATGGGTATGAATATGGCAGCGGCCGCGGCCCACCATCACCACCACCACCACCACCCCGGTGCCTTTTTCCGCTACATGCGGCAGCAGTGCATCAAGCAGGAGCTCATCTGCAAGTGGATCGACCCTGAACAGCTGAGCAACCCCAAGAAGAGCTGCAACAAAACTTTCAGCACCATGCACGAGCTGGTGACCCACGTCTCCGTGGAACATGTCGGTGGCCCGGAGCAGAGCAACCACGTCTGCTTCTGGGAGGAGTGTCCGCGCGAGGGCAAGCCCTTCAAAGCCAAATACAAACTGGTCAACCACATCCGCGTGCACACAGGCGAGAAACCTTTCCCTTGCCCCTTTCCGGGCTGCGGCAAGGTCTTCGCGCGCTCCGAGAACCTCAAGATCCACAAAAGGACACACACAGGTAACCGCGGGCCGAGACGGGGATCGGTTCTGAGGGAGAGGGGCTGGGGGTGTCGGTGTTGAACACAGCGCCAGCCGGGCGCCTGGAGTGAGAGATGTGTTTTGTGTGTGCGAGAGAGCCAGCAGCTTGTTTTTGTTGGAGGATGAAAGAATATTATTCAGCTGGATTTTTCCATGTGCGGAAATTGAGTTTTAAACGATCAGCGAAACAGCAAATGTATGCTGTGGGTCATGCAATTGCTGGGTTTGCTAAGTCTCAGTTAATAATTTCTGTTCTAAATAGAACGCACAAAATAAAACCGCTTTCTAACTTGGTGCCCGGGAATCGAGCCTAGAGAGGATTTTGCCAGCTTGTCTGAATGTGCTTTTCTGCTCCGGGGGATGTCTGTGTTTGAGTAGCTTGTGTGTTTTCCCATTTCTTTTACTCCGCATCCAAACGCCCTTCTTGGGACTGTTTTCCCATTAAATTAGTCTGGTGTGAGCCGAAGCTGTAAAGCGTTTCTCATTTTTAAAGTGTTTTTTAAAGCTGATCTCGGGGTGGGTCGTGGGGGTTTTACGGTGGTTTCACAGCAGTTTGTGAAATTCTAATGGGTACCAGAGGGTTTGCGATTCCCAACTTGTACCCACAACCCGGTCAGCCAGAGCCCCAGGCGGCGCAGCCCTGCGGGGGGATCGCGTGAGAAGCGAGAGCCGCAAAAGAACGCGCCTCCCGTCTCATAGATTATTCATCTATGACCAGGTCCCAGCCAAAATCGTGCCAGACGATTTCCTAAAAGAAAGCCAAATGTTTTAGTAAGTTCCCCCGTCAATATTTACTCCGAAGTGGGGATGCGCCAGCGGCCTATTGTTCTCTTCCGGGAAGGGAGGGAGCCGAGGTGCGAGACAAGCTTTTAACAAGGTTTAAAATTTGAGAAATTTATTTGCATGCAATGCTAGCTTTCCAGTCCTGTGTCTGAGCGGATGTCTTTAAGAAACAATTTAGGTGCTAATGGAATTTAATGTTAAACGGTCCCCTTTCCAAGTGGAACGATGTTTGAGTTCTCACACCTCTAAATGACTCCAAGCATTTGGAATTCTGGCAACAGGATGCAGGGACCGCCAGAAAATTAAACAGGGAGATTTTGAAAGCCTTTGCTGGTCCCCCCCCCCCTCAGCTTATGTCCCTGCACAAACGCTAGATGCTGCCTTATCTCTAATAATTTGCTTTCTCCCCGCCCTCCCAACTTACTTGTAAAATACTGGAGGTGATAAAACTATGGCTAATTTACAGAATTTTGGATGGAAAACACTGGCTCAGTAACTAGCCACAGTCGGTCCCCCAAACAACGCACAGCAACTCCAAATGCAATTGCCTACTGGCCTCGGAGAGAAACCGACAGCAGCCTGTGTGATTTTGATAATGCCCCAAATATTTTGTCATAATAACAGCTTCTCCATGGTGAGACCAACTTGTTAGAAGCTGCGAATCCAGAAAGGCAGGCAGGGCCAGGAGCTACCCCAAATTCGTTAGAAATTTGAGGAGATGGGCGTCAACCTGAAAGAAAGTAAAGTAAATGAATAAGGAGGACTGTCAGGTGGGAAGGAAGGTGGTTAATTTAAACTAGGTTCTGTCACAGAGGAGATTAGATATGTTTAAGGGACATAGACCCCTGTCGCCCTTCCTTCCATCTCTGTCACCCGCGGCCCTGCCCCCTCCAACTCTGGGTGCAAGTTCTGAGGGCTTCAGATTTCCAAAGCAAGCACTGGTGTTTGCTGTCCACAGGGGAGAAGCCCTTCCAGTGTGAGTTCGAGGGCTGCGACCGGCGGTTCGCTAACAGCAGCGACAGGAAGAAGCACATGCACGTCCACACCTCGGATAAGCCCTATCTCTGCAAGATGTGCGACAAGTCCTACACACACCCCAGCTCGCTTCGGAAGCACATGAAGGTACCACCGCGGCGGCTGGGAGGAGGGCGAGGCCGGCCTGACGTGCAGGTTCTCAACCAGTCTGGGAGGGATCCCAGGGCCTGGGGAGATTGGGGACCGGGGCATTTCTGGGGGTGCTCCCCCGTGGGGGGCAGTCCCACAGCAGCTGCACTCACACCCAGTCCCCTCTGGTCCCCCCTCCTGGCTTTTGTCTTGCAGGTCCATGAGTCCTCTCCGCAGGGCTCTGAGTCCTCCCCGGCTGCCAGTTCCGGCTACGAGTCGTCCACGCCCCCGGGATTGGTGTCCCCCAGCGCTGAGCCCCAGAGCAGCTCTAATCTGTCTCCAGTGGCGG